GTTTAGATTTCTGGATATCTGATCGGTTGGAATACCTGAGCTTCTATGGATTTCTTGGATGAAGATTCTATGCGAGAGGACAGCCTTATTGTGGGTTAAATAGGAGTTGTACTCTTCCTTTAGATACCATTTTCCTCTAACTATCATTGATAATGGAGGGCTAGCCAGAAGTATGGGGCCAGAAGATGGATAGTTCATGATTAATGATACTCTACCTTATTATTTTGTAACAGTTTAATAAAAATTATGGAATCAGTAAATGTGTAAATCATTTTTTATTAGTAGACTGCGGATTTCGCTGCGAAATGACATTTTGTAAAGTTATTCAGAAGAGCAAATGTAGGAATTTCCTTCCTCTTTACAGTATTTTATTGGGTTCCGAAGGAACTCGTTACATCTTATTAGTCTATAAATGCATAAAATTCGCAGTCTACTCATCAGTTTTGGCAAACTATTTTGATCCAATCTTTATAAAATAATAATCTTCCGCTTCGTCAATTGCAAGACTTGGCCTTGTGCTTTCGACCAGTAGTATAGATGGCAGATAATGACGTTAGAGATAAATAATCGATTATTAAATTCATACATTTCACACGATTGTGCACCAAATGGAAATCTCAGGATCCGTTCCCTTCTATAATTCCTTATTCCCGTTATATTAACTAATCACTGGGAAGTACCATCCCACGCCAGTTGCACCATTCTGGACAGATTACATTGTACCTTTGGTGACCTGTGCACCTCGATGAACGTCCGTACAAACTCAGTACAGTGATAACGGCATAACGAGACAATTGAATCGCATATTCATTAGCGAATGAACGGGAAATAATAACAGCCATGCGTATCGTCGTCGTATGTTGGTAACAATAGAGGCAAGAGAAGATCCTGTTCTTCTCGTAAATCCGTTCCAGTGCATCGGTGGATTGCGCTCGCGACAAGGCATTCAGAGGGGTCCCCCCGTTCCCTAAATGATAAACCGCTGTGCTTCATCTTCTTTGAAGGATTTGGTTGCTCCGAGCGCATCGACTTTATTGAAACCCCACGGATCGGTTCCACCGTTCGACGATATCAACCGAGCGTAGTCCCCCTGTATTGCGCTCCCCGTAATGGACAGTGGGCTAGCGTAATGCGATAACATCGATGCTGCTTATCAACTCGGCTGTACGTCATTACGCGTTCACCATTATGCGAATAGGATCGTATTAACATCTACGAACTCAATGGACGGCCGATCAGCGCGGTTATCGCCGCGAACAACGAATGCTGCGCCCCGGTAATAGAATAAAGCGCCTATTTATGGTAGTTAACTTTATTAAAAGGGCCGGGATTTCATAGATATCGCTGGTCCAGCGACCGATATAATATATATATATATATATATCCCGTAATAAGGTCAACTCGGTGCCCCTTTATTCAGCTTCTATTATGAAATTTCTATCCGGTGTTCGCGTGCACAGGGTCCCCATCGCATATCGGAAATATTTTGGAAGTAGATGCAGTATTTAGAATAAGTCGAAAATGTACAAAAAGAATTCTTTACGTAGGGCTGCCTTTTCGATAATTTCGTCGAGTACGGTTGTACTTGACAATCACTTAGCACACTTGTCTGCCCTTTACGGGTTATTTCTACTTCAGATAATGTTTACGAATGTCGTCAGTAATGTGGCATTTGTTTTCTACAGTAATTTGATATAAACTGTTCGTATATAGTGAGGTCGATGGTGCAGAAATAATAAAGTACCATGACCAAAGCGTACTAAAAGTAGAAATATCCAATAATAGTCAGACACAGCACCAGTCCTATTTGAAAGTACAGGTACCCAACGAATCTACAAACTTATCTTCCTTAGAAAACACAGACATCCGTTAGACATGTTGTTCCATATTTTTTGTAGTCATTATGACTACTTATGTTACGTTTTCAGTATTTACTATTATACTATTATACTTTTATACTTTTATACCATTTCACTAGACTCTACTGAAAGTGTACCAGAATTAAAAGGAAATTAGGAAATCGTGTAGAATTGCGTCAAAGATTTATATTCCAGAAAGGGTTACTAAAAATTATATAATATTCCGGGTCAAGTTGACTGGACCACGATAGAAGGATTAAATTGCTTCGGACGTTATCATAACGCTCTTGTATATGGACACGTCCGTATATGTTGCGAATATGAAAAAAAGTTATATCGACGGAGAAACCAAACTGTCGCCTCTATCGAACTTTTTTCGGCTCTAGTCGCCAGTCCCCTGCCGTTAGGTCTCGTCGCAGCATGGAAATCAGACGTAATGCCGCGGAAAGACAATAATAACTCGCCTCGTTGGCCCCCAACGAGAGATACACACCGAGGCGGGGTATTTAGTGCCCCGAAGGTATTAGAACAGAACGTGGCGGTTGTTTGAGAATAATTGAGAAACCGTACGTGGGGTGGTAGATAGCGCGACGTTGTATGAGTAACGCCGAAACAAACGGCTTCTGTGAGCACGCGTTTGTGTGAATGCGCCGAGCATGGGGAGGGACGTTACGATAGGGAAATAAACGAAAAAAGAAACACGTGTATGCACGGGATGATCTGAAAGGAGAAATAATTTTGAGATGTACAGGCTCTGTCGTTGCAAATTGTTTTAACCCTTTGAGTGTGGATTACTTCAAACTTAAACGCGTACTGTGAACGATATTTTAATATTTTGTTACATAACGTTATATAAAAATTATCTAATTCCTCCAATTTTTATTTAGACATACATATTTATATTACCTGTGAGCAACGTTTCGTTAGATGTGAATTGTTGTACTCATATGTAGGCGTCCATAGCACTCAAAAGGATAAATACCATCGTATAGAAGTGTTTGAAGATATTGTGGCAATGTTTGAGAGGAAAACACGTAGACTATCCATGGATGGCGTACATTATTCTTCTGATAAATCATTCATGAAGAAACTCTGGATTTGTAAGCAACTTTACATTTCTGTAGAGTTATTTACACGAGTATGCTTTCGAGAAAAATGTATTTTCTTTGTTCAGGATTTTGAGAGATTTAAAAATAAGCTTAGGATTTACATTTAATTTAATTTTTTTTTTTTGTACAATTACGTATCCTGAAAATTTATACGAACTACGGTTTACTTATGGTACCATTTCTCCTGTCTCAATGATACGTCCATTTTTACTCACAGGTAGCAATGGATTCCAATAGAACGGTGCACAGTACTTTCTGTTTAACTAGTTTTGCAGGCTGTCTATATTCCAAATTTCGTTGATACGTAAATAAATTAAGTAATCATTCGTATAAGACGAAATTTAATGGAACAAAGTTATTTGGCAAAATGACAAACCATCTTCAAAATTATCTCAATATTCTCCTAATAGAATATTCCAAGATTCTCTTAAAATTGTCATGTCTATAAAAAAAATACAATATTTATGAATAATTCCAATCGGAATGAACACCTTTCCAAATCTAAAAAGATTATGAATGTACCCGTCGAAAAGAATCAGGGTTTCATTTAAACCGCCGTTCGGTGGTCGTGCACACGCAAAAACGCGCAGTTTTACGCGTCTAACGGAGGATGCTGTTTCGGCTCACGCCGCTCGTCACGTCGACGACACGTTAAAGTCGCCCTTAGGCCGTTCGTTTCGCAAGTTCGGGAGCACGGGCAGGAGTTTTCGTTCGTTCCGCTCGCACTGATTTGTTCGTCTCGGAAAAGAAAAAGAAAAGGGATATGGGGGTTGGTGGTGGTTTATACCGCCGCCGGTCGCTTCGTCGTGCGGAAAAGAAACGGAAAGCGAGCAAAGCTCTGGCTTCCGGCTGAAACAGGGACGAAAAGAGGGATGGAAAGAAAGAGAGAACGATCTACGCGTGTAGGCGAAGAGGATGACGGAAAGCGCGACACGTGGGGGCGGAGAGAAAAAAAGGGGTTGATCTCGACGCTGAATCCTCGCCCGAGGATGATGAACACCGAGAACGATTGATCTTGCGCGCCTTTTATGGCGGGAATTCCAAGCCTGGTCGAGAGGTCCTCTCCCGGTGGCGATTAATATCGACGATCCCTTGATACCTTTTCTTTCATTTTCACCTGTCCATTTCACGGCCGTTCCCCACCCAACGGCGAACCGTGTCGTGGGACGACGCGAATTTATCCGCGGTATACGCTCGAACGGAGGAGTAGTGAAACAAAATAGACCGTGAAATCATTGTGTGTTCGGGGCATTTGTTGGTTGTCATGGGCGGGATGGAGGGGCTGCGGGGACCTAAAGAAAATTGTTTAACCGAGTTCTTGGCATGTCGGGAGAAATGAAAGACAGTATTAGCTGAGATTGGTTGTCGTAAAGAACATTCGTAGGGGGTAAGTCGAGTGAGTGATTCGCGTAGATGGGGGGGGGGGGATAATTCTGTGGCTGGTGGATAATGGAGAATATTTCAACAATTGTAGCCTGTAGAGATGATAGACCTGTAGTCGCGGGAATACTTCGTTCGGATGTGATTGCACGCGTTCGTGATACTCGTTTAACGATGACGGTGCTCTATTGAGATCCACGTACTCGATAGTTTCTTTAACTTCTTCGCGATGAACGGTGAAAATTAACGGGGAGACGTTTTTTTTTCGGTTCATCATCTTTCGTACAGAACACTTAGCACATCATCTTTGCATTGATAAATTCTAGCCAATTAACAATTAATTAATTCATTGAACAGTTTACTCTAGCGTGTGAAATGATTTAATAAAATTTCCGATAAAAATATCGTTGAGAGAGTGCAAATAGATATTTTTCGTGATGGTCGTCTTATGCTTATTAAATCAGCTATAATCTATATTCCACCTGTCTGAAAGAGCACTATAGCTATTCAACTTGTACGACTAAGGAGACGCTCTATTCTACCTGTCTGACCAGGAATTGATCCTATTCCACTTGTCAGGCCAGGGGCCATCTCTATTCCACTGTCTAACTGGGGTTCGATTCTCCTGTACTTATCTGGCCAAGGACTGTCCCTATTCTACTTGCCTAGGAGTTGTCCTTACTCCACGTATCTGATCAGATACTGTCTCTGTTCTAGTTATCTGACCATGAACTATCACTATCTTACTGATTTGACACAGAATCACACCCATTCTACTTGGTCGAACACTATTGCCTATGAGTATATAAACCTTATTTCATCTGACTAACGAAAGCTACTCGTTACTGTAAATCGCTCAAGAATTCAAGGTAGTGTAATGTCCCGAAGAATGGTAAAACAATGAAATTTCAAGTGAACAAAAGACCACCGTCATCGTCGGTACCATCGCGTCCAAAGTGACAGGGATCAGTGAATAATCGAGAGACATCGTCAGGGGTGGACGTAGAAACGTGTCCCGATGGATACCCTGTGTCCGTCCCTGCGTACCGTGAACTAATAGCGCCGCCGTGCGAGACGTTTCGGCGGCGTCGTTGCTCGCCACGCACGTATAGTTGCCATTATGCGCCGTGGACGCGCTCGGTATCTTCAATGCGAGATAGAAGTCCCCTATATGATGTGTGGTCGCCTCGCTCGGCTCCACCGGTCTCCCATCCTTCAGCCAGGTGATCTTCAACGGCGAGTCACCCTCGCGTACCGCGCAGGTCACGTGCAGCCGTTGGCCTTCTTGTGTATTGTTGGGAAAGCTAAACGGATCGATTTTAGGCGGTACTGAAAATTACAGGAATCACGACATACTTTATTTCATCACCGCCCGCCGGACGCATCCTCCTCGATTTTTCATTTTCATTCACATTCGCGCTATATCTCTGTCGCTGTGTGTCTCTCTGTCTTTCTTAGAGTGGAGTCACGAGCGAAGTTTCTTCGAAACCGTGGTGACCGATCGATACCGGTTTTCGTGCCGCGGACGCCAGACAATCGAAACGGAAACGATTGTAACGGAAACAAAAGCTGCACGCATCGATCGTCATCGTTCGACGCGTCGTTGGCTAGACGACCGGGGGGTTGTTTTTGATTGCTCGTTCCTTTCTTTCCCCCGCTAACCCCAACCCCTTCGGGCCCTCTCGAACCGATACAAATCGTCTCGAATCCGAATAACCTTTTCAACGCACCGTTGTCCCCCTTAAAAAGATCACTCGATTTTTTCCCCATCGTCTCCTTGTTCCCCGCGACTAGTCGACAAAAACACGCGCGTAATCCTTTCGACTCGCAGGGGGTTGAATGGTCGCGATGAAATTGTTCTCGTGCACAGGCGATTTCATGGTCGCCTTGGATAATACAGTTTGACAGTTTGCGCGGTTTTATAACGGTTGACGAGAGACACGCTTTGTACGGGCCCACCTGTGAACACAGCTTACGGTAATTCGCTGCGAAAAAAATCGTCGATCTGAAACCGTTATTAATTGAAGAAAAGCTTCACAGTCTTATCAGCTCGACGGTGGTTACTGGATACGAGCGTATTGATATTCGCAAGCGATTGATACAACGATATCGATATTTCATAGGGTTCTACTCGATTGGAATAACAGCGTGTGTGATATCGGACACCGACAATAATTTCACGAAATCTGATAACTATTTTACACGGTACAGTATCGAATTATTATTCAGCCGGTTAACCCATTTCAATTTCAAGTGGACGTAATTTTAATTGTCATGGATGTGTGGGGAAGTACCAATGTTTTTAACGGGAGAAACGAATCGGATAGAATTTCTGCCACGTCCATAAGCAGCAAGCTCAATTTTTGAACAAATTTTTAAATCTAAAAATAATGTTAAGGTTCCGTTCGGTTTAATTGCTTTTTGTATAATCATATATTCTGATGATCTGTACGCTTCTTTAGTTTAATCGTGACATTATTCCTCCTGTTTCAACAATGAAACCTTGGTCGAAAATTATAGGTAAAAACAAGTTCTAATAAAATTGTCTATGGATACTTTCTTTTTACTTCTGCAACCTGTGTGTTCTTAACCCTGCTATGACCTCTGAGTCTATTTCGACCTAGCAACGTTCTCGTTTCTGCAATATTGTTACTACTTCACACGGTTTTCCGATTTAACCTTAACCATGTGTTTTTCATGACACAAGCGAAACTTCGGCGTTCAAATATTTCCGAAACGAATAGATTGTTATTAAAAAAAAACTACTAACATCCAACTTTAAAAACTATTGGAACATATAGTAAATACCCTGTGAAGTATCCCTAGTTTTGTTCAGATTTCTTGCAAGCCTATAAATTCAAAAAATAGGTCTCGACATAAAAGATCCAGGCGGTGACGGAACCTCTTCAAATAACAAGCGCCACGGATGGTTAACTTGGTCTTTTCAAAAACATTTGCATATTTGTGAAACGTGTAAAGAAATTGTTACCGACCCACGTGTTTCTCCTTCCTTGTCATTATTTCGAAGGTGTAGCTGCACCGAAGTCCCTAGCCAGGCTAAAATTCGTCGATACACACAATAATTACCCATTCGTGTAACACAAAATTTTCTCGAACAGTTTGAATAAACAAAACAAATAATTACAATTCAGCAAACCGAATTTATAAACAAACTTTTGCTTCGCATAAACCGTTCGGCACGCGTAACGAGTGCAAACACCTGGCGATTCACGAAGGAAATTCTGCTCGAGGTTTAACCCCGAGAACGGGGAAGAGGAAACACGGGACAATTACGAGACACATCGGCGGAATGTCACTCCAGGACGATGCTCCGTGTACTTTCCGGGATCTTAACGGAAAGTCGCGAACCGTGTAACGTCTCGAATGAGTTCCCTCCCGTAAAGAGGACTCCGCGTCGTTGCGTCTCGTCCCGGTAGAAACTTATCAGAGATGCTCGCCGAGGTGTATAGCGGGTGAGCGCTGTCGAATCATGGAAAATCCTGACAGAGCGGATCAAGCGTCGACGCGACGGGATACACGTCCCGCGTTGAACACGCTGTTACTCCAATTCAAGTGGGCGAAGTCACCATTGGAGAGGCTCGTGAAACGTGAAGGACAGAGAAAACGAAATGGTAAAACTTTACCTTTCACTTCGATGTGCACCGTCTGGGAGTCCGAGCGTCCTTGCGCGTTCTTCGCGGTGCAGGTGTAGGCACCGCGATCGGTGGTGCTGTCGACATCGTAAAGCACCAGCGTGCCGTTTGACCAGACTTCTTGACGGCGACTGGTTGGCAGGATTTTACCGTCTGCCGTTGGAAGAAACGTTATTTAATTTGATGGGTATGAGTTGGAACGTGTTGGTTCTGTTGTCTTCGGAGAGGAATAAATTAGAGTTAGGAATAATAAGATAGAGTTAGGAAGGTTACTGGTAGTGGTTTTTTGTTAATACTGGTTGGCCATGTAAGTGGATCTACAATCGGGTAGAGGGTGAGTTTATGTGAGAAAATAAGTCGAAAATGTGGAATAAAATTTTTTTATTTGAGACTTCGTTTTCGAGAAAATCGACTTAGAAGAGTTACTGGATGTGCGTGCAAGTGAATTGGCTTACGTGTCTGATCATTGCATTCTGCTTCTACTTACTGCTATTACGAATACGTTTCAGATTAATGTTTGAAGTCTGTTTTCTTGAAAGAAATTGTATTCCGCATTTTCGACTTATTTTTTCACGTAGAATCACCCGGTTGTATTACCAGTTACATGAGAACCTGTACATGTTCAATTCAGCTACGGATATTTTGTTTGCCAGCCAGGCACATGCTCCGTTATACAGTCCTATTTATTTCATTATGATACCAACAGTAATAAATTGTGATTGATTATTTGTAGATGGTAGTCTATACCTGATAAACAGAATAGGAATAGTACAATTCATTCAATAGTTAATACATTCTATTATTATAGTACAAAAGTATGGGTTTGGTATTGTACTTTTCAATGAGTCACATGTTACCATCTTTGACCACGAACGATCTCCTATTACATACTTGACCAGATGATAGCCTATACTATTGATTCTTAGGTACTACATATCCTTCTTAGAAAAAAAACAAACAACATAAGCTGAAACAGGGATTAAGAAATGGTTTATTATTTCTCAAGAAGATTGCCAACGTATCTTTCCCGTTTCAATGAACCGGGTGCACCGCACGTCCACTCGTCAAACTGCAATCTGCCGGTAGCCATTATATTTTAACTTTATTACCCGCCGTGAAATAAATTTAACGATACACAATGGGCCCTGTAAACAGTCGGTGGACGTATAAATCCCGTCTGTAGAGGCGGATGCGGTCTGTTTGTACGGAGAAATCACAACTTTCCATCGTTTCTCTCGCGTCAAATCGTCGGTGTGACGGTGTCGAGCGCGCGCTCAACCGACTTTTCAATCCGCTTTCCCGTGGTCGTACGCGCGCTCGGGGCCGCTGACTTTGAAAGTGTCACGGGGAAACGGGTATTGCGGGCCGCCACGCCGCATCCCTCGTAAAAGGGAGAAAGTTAGCGGGTACCGTTTGAAACTTTTCCAGGAGTTCGGTTCATCATTACTGGAAAAAGAAAACGCTCCAACTTCTCGCCGCTCGAAGATGAATGGGGCGAGGGGGTGTAGGAGGGGGAGGCGTTGAGAAGCCTCGGAGTTTTCCTCGTTCGAGAAATAAAACTGACGACCTCCCTGTCGCTTCCCCCACCCCTTCAGATCTCCCCCTCCCTTCTCCCGTCGAGGCCCCGTTCTCTTTCGACGGCGGAGCTCGAGGAAAAAAACGTTCATTTAGACCGCTCGAAAAACCGACGGTACTTTCAGTTTCTCTGAAATTTCATTCGTCTCCTTGGCGGGGAGATTTACGAGGGGAACTGGCCGCTGACGGTAACTTATTTACGAGCTCTTTATACGCCGCGCAAATTTCTGTTTAATTTTTGTTCCCCTGCGAACGAGGCTGACAATGAGACAGGCCTGGTTTTAGACACTTCATCGCGTCTAATAGGGTATAAATGTGAAAAATTTTTTGTAGTGTCCGATTACATCGACGCAATACCACTTGGAACACCTCTTACGATGTAAACTCCATTGTGTTATTCCTTTATTCATTGTCAAATGACCTTGTATCAGATATCGTTGAAATCATCTAAACATTCGCTGTTCTACTAGGAATAAAAAAGTATAGCATGCCATTTAAAAAAAATTAGAGATGACTGACTCTTATCGGCAAGTTATGACCCATACTATACCATATAATGTTCCTCAGTAAAGTTTTTCCATATCTCTGAAAATCACTGAGATATTCAAGTTGAGCGGACTCGTCGGGCCGCCCGGTACAATTTCAATACGACAGAATATAGGGTATAGTAAAATGTATAATAAATTAAAAGTCAACGTAAATTCTAACCGAAGGTTTATCATTTTCGTAATTGAAAAATAAAGAATTTCGAATATATCTTTTAGGGTTGTTCCAGCCTGAATATTTTCTGTCGACTGGCACGATCACTGACCTTTGTCCCATACGATGCTCGTGATCGGGAAACCCGCGACCGGGCATTTGATGACGGTGGTTTCGCCGGCGACTGCAGCGTAGTTCCCCATCGGTCGTACATGGGGCAGCCCGTAAATGTTGAGAGGGGCGGAATGGTGGACCCTCGCCACGCGATTCGACGCCGTGCACCGATACTGCCCGCCGTCCTCCACGTGCACCACGCTTATATTCACGTGCGATATTACCTCCCCGTGCACCGTCACATACTGTCCTATCATAAACCTGCGGGCAAGCACCAGAACAGCCTCTGTCACACACACGCACACACACTTTCTCTTCACTTTTCCAAGGACGTAGAGGAAGACTATTCCGGAGAGCGAACTTTTTTTCGGTGGGATTTTTATGGTAATGAGGAATGTCGAGCGAACTACGCTAATGGAACAAAAGTTTTTACAAGCGTCCCTCCCGAAGAATATCGGGGTTGAGGAAATTTTCGTGGATATTGATAGGATGTCGCAGTGGTTGCTGGTTTGGATGAGTCGCTTTTGACAGGAAGATCTTACTTATTAACACTTTGATTGTCACACATCACCCAAATGTGGATAAAGAGCTTGAAGAAAATTTGTGCGGAAAATTATTATCGCAATGTAATTTGAAACAAGACTAACAGCCTCTATTAATTAAACACATATATTTTCTACGATTTATGACTTCAAAAACGAAATAAAATCTGTCCGGTTACATACGGCCTTTTTCACTGTGACAGTCAAGTTGTTAATTCAGTTTAATGTTTTGATTGGAAACAGTAATGAAATAAGTTTATTCGGTGTATTTATTTCCTAATGTTAGTATGTAGGCTTTGGTCTAGGGTTTAGTTAATTCACGACTGGGAAGCTCGTAGCGACAATTGTCTGCAGGTGACGTGCAGCAGCGTGACACGTCTACCTTCTTTTAATGTGGGTGTCCATTTGTTGCGAATCTTCGTATGGTATCACCGTTGCGTATCATTGGGTCGTATCACCATACGATACATTTTCATACGCAGTGATACAACTCTTTCATAGGAATCGTATTTATGGTTAGTTTTAACACTAGAATTACCAACACTGAACGTATACTAAATTAAATTGTATAATATACTAATATACTCAATATATAATACAATTTAACGTAATATAGTATAACATAAAATGTGTAGTGAATTACAATCAATGTAAATTTCGCCTAAAACATTGTTGTAATTTCAGAAATCCTAAAATAAGAAACCCACAATCCGTTATTTTGACGGGTCTGGTAGTTCTAGTGTTAAGAGTATGATGAGAGGTGAGGTTGGTGACCTGGGTGGTTGGAAAATAGATGGAAGCCAGTGGGGATTTGAGTGTCACCGAAGCAAGAGTATGGATTTGGGTGTCAGCGAAGCAATAACGTGGAGTATCTTTAGGATTGTTATCTGTAATATTGAACACAGTGTAGTGTTTTATATTTGGTTAAATGTAGTTCTGTTTTATACTACACCTGGCTGGTCTTAATAATCATTCAAATCCTACAATATCTTTTTTTTTCTATTTTTAGAGTACTTTGATTATGCACGCGTTTTTATGGGTTTATGGGTTGGATAGTTTCTATGTATTATTGTTATAGATACGTGCTCCCTTTCCAGGTGCAATTAATATCGACCATAATGCCGTCCACTAGAGTCCCAATTATGAGCATCCTTTCAACTTCCTGTACCTCACGGCTTTTGTGCCGGCTGTCGTTGTTCCGTTCATTGCGGAATAGTATCTCCCAAACATCTGCTAGATGCACTGCTCGTACAAGCATTTGTACGATATATTCTACAAGTTTCTCTTGCAAACGTTATTACAACATTCAAGGTATGTTCGACCATTTAAACTCAACGACCTTGCGCTCGCAAGGGAGTTTAAGTAACGAGGTCGACAATTTTCAACACATTCACCTGTAACTAATTCATAGATGACATAATTTCAATTGTGGTAGAATTCACTACCGAGCGATCGTTAATTGATTTATTATCTGTAGGATTAAATATATTAGAAACAAATTTTAATTGAAGGATCGTCTTATAAAATCGACGACTGGTAGGTACGTGTTTTTTATGTTACTCTTTAATTTCCTTATCCTGAGAATGTATTAATCGTTGCAATATAATCTTTTACACAAACAAGTATTTACAATACTTACCAATTATGAGAAGAAGTAATTTAATAGAGAATATTACTTCGGTAATACTTTGTTCATTTATTCGCTTCTCGTCTATACTATCTGATTGCATCGAAGATCAATGAACAACAAAAGCCCATAAAGAAAAAAAAGGGCAAAAAAAATAACATCGCATTCGACTGCATTATCAAATGGCATCTACGCGGACCCCGGTAAATCTATCATTCTAAATCGATCGGCTCTAAAAAGTTTAGACTGAGCCGAGTTGATTGGTAATTTTCCCCTCAATTGGTTCAGAGAATCGAAGCCCGCGGGGAGGTATCCGTTCCCACGAGAGCCGCGTTATATAGGGGAAGCCAGTCTGATTTTCTGTCGATCGTAATACCCGCGGCTTAATAACCGAAGATAATTGTGTACACACCATCCATCGATTTTTTTTCGAGAGTGGTAATGTTATCCCCTCCCCCTGGAAAGGGATCAAGTACCCGCAACCGGACCCACATGATGTTCCTGTAATCCTTAAAGTCCATAAGATCGATTATAGAACATTTTTCACGTGTTCACCTGAAGATCATTACATATTGTTGAAATTGCCATTTTCTACTGAAAACGGATAACTTACAATTCATTACATTCTGATTAATTAGAAATCGATTGTAGATATTCGTAAAAATTCAAAATGTTTAATGCGTACGTAAAGATTTTACTCGATGATCATGTTCACTCGTTTGACTGAGCACTTTCTGCCAGGAGTGGTATAAATAGAGAACCATCGCGTCATTAGCGATCTGGAAGAAGTCAGAAATGACTCATCCTTACGATGCTAGTAGATGTAACATAGGACAATGTAAACTACTAAAATCACTTGAAAAGCAATTAGAACAAATCAATTAAATTGTTTCTGGAGACCTGGAAGCATGCAGGGTATTCTACAATAATTTGATTTAAACAGTGAAAAACATGCAGAACTCCAAATATTTCGAAAAATCGTGAAAAACAATCATTTGTTAGATAGGATATATTAACGACATGTAAACGACGTTTTAATGCGAGACATATATGTCACGTAACGCAATGAGACTGTTAATACCCTACTGTTCGTTTAAATGTTGACATTTCCTACCCGTAATCCTCGTACCTGTCGTTCTGTGGAAGAGGAAATCCGTCCAGGGTCCATGAGAAGTGCGGCGTTGGGTTTCCGGTGGCGACGCACTTCAAAGAGACCGAAGGACCCGGTTGCAATGTGTGTTCGATGAATTTATGTAGGAGCTGCGGCGCCGCGTCTAAAAGACACACAATTAAGATTAAATACAGTGGTATAGAATACCATTTCACGTAGCTCTGATTACATACGTTGCTTGGCAGCAGGTTCGCTGATAACAGCTCGGTTATACGAGTTCAGTTAATTGGGTGTTTGGGAAAAACTTCGTTTAGATAAATGGAGTTCTACCGCCTCTACACACGGAAAAAGTACTTTGTTACTCTTTAACTTTATACTATCTTTCATACAATGGTCCCAAAATGATAAAACTGAATACTTTTCATTCCTTGAATGTTATGATGTATCACTAAAAGTACAGTCTACACGAAATTTTTCACCACTGACGTATATGTACGTTATAACCGTTATTTGAAAATAATTTTGCACATTACAAGAAATACCGGTAAAACGATACATTTTGAATACTATTGGTTTGATAACATTAAAGGAAGTTTAATAATCATTGTTATTGAGAAATTATTTTAAAACACTGTTCACGAATATGCCCGACATTCCTGCTATGGATTGACTTTGGTCATAACGTATATATACGACATATCCGCTTAAGGGTTACAGTGTGGTTAGACTGTTAACGGTAACTTCGTAATGGGTCTCAATTTTAAGTGGTATCGATATATGCTATAAGTTCGTTGTTCATCGTTTAATTCTTTAATTAACGTGAATTTTGTGCAGAACCAGATACGTAAAATTAACTGTCCAGTTAAATGTATGCATATTTACGATAACCGGAGCCGACTATTCATTTTTGAAATTACGGAACGCCCGTAAAGATAAAAGATTCGGTGCGTTTATTGATCCACCTCTCGCTGCTCACCAAACAGACGGAATTGTAATTCGAGGGTCTTCGCAATTCATCTGCCCGAGCGCAACCAATGCCTCGTGGATTGGAAATTAAATGACGTTTCTGGTAACATTATGCCGGACCGGCGTGTTTCAATTTCACCCGGGGAAATCGATCGCGCTGGAATTCAATCAGCATCCATCGAGATTTCGAAATAATTCAGTGATGCGTAGATACACACTATACGCAGGTAAATGTATGCAGATTATTCGCGTGGATTCGCTGTCGAGAATTGTGTGTAGTGCTTTCGCGATTATGGGCCTCGTCACGGAACAGGGAAGAACCGGAACAGTGGAAAAATGAAGGAAGATTGACCAGCACTGCATTATATATAAAACTGACACCGTTGTAATTTTTAGCGTATATACACTTCACTATTCGCTCTATGAGTTTCTAAAACTGAAATATGATTTGTTTTAGTTTTTTTGCCTTTTTCAATTGTTTTGCCTTTTCCGATGTGTGCGCTGTTACACAATAACTTTCTATAATATTTGATAGTTGTATTTTATTTCTATGCACTACCGTACATTTTATTGTAAAAAAATTAATATAATAGGTATATAGAGTGATGGATAAATTTGTTACACGTAGTAAAATACTTCTTGAAATTTACATTTAACCATAATCAGATACTTTCAGATTTATTTTCCTAGGTATTAATAAAAAATGAGAACATTCGATGTCTGACCATCGGTGAAGAATACTACTTGGCACTCGTCGCAACCATCCCTGTTTCCTGCATTCCACCTCCCCCTATGCAATTGTATATTCATCACAGGCATCATCTATATCTCATATATGTTATCCCCCACTTGCTTTCTCTCCACACGTCCAAACCTTTTTACGTATTAATCAACAGCCATACCATTCTATGTCTAACCATCGATGGCGACTACTACTTGGTAGTCATCACAGCCACCCTTATTCCATTCATTTCAACGTCCTAAATGTATATTTACGCCGTGGTAAAGGTTACCGTTGACTACTGTCTATATCTTCTCTATGTACAGGGTGTTTGCGAATTCGTGGTACAATTGGAAAGGATATAATTCTACACACTATATTTTGAGTCGAGTTTAATGCTTCATAGTGACATAATCATTGTCCATCGATCTTTAATACCCCCCTAATAATATTTATTTCAGATACTCAGCAATTTCGTAACACCTTGCATATTCGATAAGTGTCCTTCCAGTTACGCTTGAAAATTAATTACCTTGGAAACGCAGGATCCCACGAAAATCTTTTACTGCACATTTTCACCTTATTTCCGCACGCAGAATCATATTAATCCGGCTTCTATCATGGAAACACCCTACATTACCTTCCACTTCCCACCCCAGTCTACAACATCAGACCATCCAGTCCATAATTCTACGAATATTGCGTTGTGAAATCCGGTTTCGCGAAGGTCGTTCGAATTCCGACCACCGACAGTAGAAGCAGCGGCCGCAAACTCGTCGTGGGGGCCGCGCGATGATTTACCTGCGGGCTGAATTTCGTGCTCCGTGCACGGATGTGTGCGTGGTCCAGGTGCGTCCACGTACGTCGAGACGTACACACAAGGAACCGGGCCGGAGGTCCCGTGGAAATGATCCTGGCTGGCCACAAGGCGGGGTATTATGCACGCAACATTTACATGACAAGACTCGGCACACACGTACACACACACATGTGGGGTCAGAACTATCGATCTGCGGTTTGACGCCTGAACTCGAGTGCCGCCTAGTGAATTAACCCCGAAATTATAGAGCCGACAATAACCGAGGTGGCACAGTAGCTGCGCGGCTGTTTGCCCCACGGCGTAAATCAGGAGATGCCCTATTGCCGAATGGCCACGCCCCGTTTCGTGGCTATCATACCCTCTCCAATGGTATTATTGCACGCACGACGTCCGTTCGTTGTCGAGACGGCATTTCTCTGAACGCTTATCGGAGGAACTTCGACCCGCTGCCCGATATACCGTGGACCCACACCACTGCGCGGCTCTTAAGAACCACGGAACGGGGACGGTTCTTACGAGGCGGCTCGACTCGGTGCCTTTCCGCCTTTCAAGAAACACTTTATTGGTCCCGGTGACCTAGTTGTCAAGTATGACCGGCAGTTTCGGGAGTTGGGTGGATTTAGCCTCCGGGGGATAGGGATACTTTCATCGAGATATTGGACGGTCTGCTGTGTGTGATTAAGCAGCGCATAAGAATCATTGTCGTCTAAGCGTATACTTTAGATAGTTGTTACATGTTAGGCTGTTATTGGATAGAACTTTGGTAATACATATTGAAGGTCTTAATATACGAGGCGCTTCGAAAAATTAAGTATCAGTCAGCAATTGAAAAGAAACAGTGATAAGAAAAAATGTTTAAATTATTCCTACTGATACATATTGCGAGACCTTAAAGAAACTGAAATGTGTTATTCAAAACATAATACTGGAACAAAAAGCAATCAGTGGAATTCTGTCTTTTGAGATTGTGTTTTTGCACGATAAAGCGCGTCTTCGTTTTCACAACCCATGCCTTTCGTAAATTCAATTTCCAAATCAAGATTCCATTCCAAGCACGGATATAAAACTGACGAACTGTGTAATTTTTTCAAGTATTTCTGGGCTGGTTGCATGTTGTGGTGAACAATGTATTGTGTAAGATGGTATTACATTGTTGATTGGTTACGATGTTCCATTTGTGGATCGCCAGCATGAGATTTTCTCCGATCGTTCGGCCCGAGGGCTGCTCGATGTAATATCGCGAGCTTGCGAAGCAGTCGCGTGAAAAGAGGATGGGGGCGGGTTGAAAGAATGCGAGGTTCTATTCAGAAAATGGTTTTTCGTTTTTCCTGTCTTCTCTCGTTTTTTTTTTATTTTTGAACGAACGGAAGCTTCGTCGGTCGTCCTAGTTCGTTCGTGAATCGGACACAGTGTTCGATGTTATTAAACTTTATACAATCCGTGAAAGCATATTTCCGTGGGTGCATATTAACTTTAAAAAGTTAACAGTGAACCGTAGAATCTGATGCAGTTTTTTAATTATGTACATAGTATTACGGAAAAAATTCAAAAGAGAAAATATTCCATTTTTCCCAATATGAGTGATAATTGGCCACTTATTTTCCACCGGTATAATATAACAAAAAATGTACAAATACCTATCTCTGCTTGCAAAATAAAGTAAAAATGAATAATAAACTACAATTTTACGAATCCACCGCGCATACATATTAAACAGTGGTCACGTTGAATGCTTCGTCGTGTTGCTTAACTCACTTCAGTAGTATGGGTCACCCATATAGCAGCCGCGATACGAAAAAGCATTGGGCTATTATCAGGAGAATACCCTATTGATCTACCTTGTGTCACATTTTCATTTTATAGATAATCCGGCAGGTTCGTGTCGCAATTATGCGCTTTTATTGTCAGCCCTGGGGTTAATAAACTCGCGAAACCAAATATTGTGTCTATACTATACCATACGCGTATTAAATACTGCGTTTCTCCGATACACATGACAGCAGATAGAAAATCCTAAATCTAAAATTCGACTCAACAACAACGTTAGTTAACGCAAAATAACGAACGATTTTCTAACAAGAAGAATTCAATCATTTCCATCCTTTCATCAATATAAAAATTATATAACGGACCTTTCCAAGTATTCTGTATTTTTAATTGTCATCGTTACCTTTCTCTTTGTATTCGTGTCGAGCGCCACTTCATTTAATTTTCAGCATTACAGAGACGCTTTCTCGTTAATGATAATAAATTTTATACACGAGTCACGCCTCGACGAAACTTCCCGATAAACGTTCACCATCGCGCAGAAATTTCCGAATTTTCCGAGAATATACGGCCGACAGGCACGTCAATTCGTTAATACAAAACAGACCGTGTCGTTTGTCTCGGCGCAGCTCGCGACTCGGTAATTCGACAGGAAGACATTATTTACCGCGGCCATGATTACTGCCTCCCCCCTCCCACACGCAGCTCTAAAGCGATGTAAATAAAATGGAACTTTGCCAGTGTAGCCATGCTGGTCTGGAAATTTCTCTATGAACACGACAACGCGCCATTACCGTTGAAACCAACGTTCGAACGCTCTGAACCAAACCGACAGCTATTTAAAACACAATGCGTTGATCATCGAGCAACGCAATATTTTTCGCACACA